GTCTAGGCCTGGGCACCTGAATTGAGAGCAAGGAGGCTCTCTACTGTGCTCTCAGTACCCCTCTGCAGGCCTGCTGATGGTGGAGGGTGGGCACAGTTTCCCCGGGCCCAGCAATTCAAACATGCCTGGAGCTCATGGCTGCCACCAGCACTACCATGGCAGTGGAGGTGATGGTGGTAGTTCCAGACCTTTTAAATTGCTGGCAGAGTGCCGTGTGGGGACGCACTCTCGGGTGGTGCTAAGGGCGGCCTAGCTCCAGTCCTGCCCCTCCTACCCAAAGCCCTGCCCCTTCTGGGGGGGATGGAGTGGAGCTGCCCCACCCCATCTTGCCCAGCGGCCCAGTGAGTCTGTTGGTCCTGCTGCCCCCCTCGTGGTGCCCAACCAACCCAGAGGAGTTAGCTTCTGGGTTCTAATGTAGAGTGGACAAGAGGAAGAGGTGCGGGAGGTGAGGGAAGGAAGTAAACTGGGATAAGGAGCCTGGGGAAAGAGAGAACAGGACTGGAGGCTTGGGGGAGAGAGGGAAACTGGGACTAGAAGTTGGGGTGGTGAAATCTAGAACTGAGAGTGCTGGGTGAGAAGGGAAAAGGCAGGGGACAGACTAGAGGGCTGTGGGGGGAGGAGGCTGAAGTTGGATAAGGAGCCAGGGGGTTTGGGTCTGACTGAACAAGAAGATGAGACTGCGTACCAGTGGAGTGAATGGGAAGGAGCTGAAAGGCAAGGGAGGCAGAGCTGAGCCAGTGGGTGGAAAAATTGGGCCTAGCAGGGCAAAGAGTCTGGAGCACCGAACTGAGTGAAGGGACACTGAAATTGTTGAGGAACCAGAGGAGGGGGACAAGTAGACAAAGCCAGTGTAGATGGGGAATTTCTAGAAGGGACTGGAGGCCAAGGTAGGGGGGGAGAGAGAGAGGTCAGGTGAAGAGCTGGGGGTGGGGACTGGGAGCAGAAGGGAGATTGGAATTAGGACAGAGAATCTAGGGGGATGAGACCAGGATGTGTTGGGTGAAGGGCCTGAGGTAGGGAAAAATATGACTGGGAAAGGGACAAATTAGCAGGGACGGGGCAGAAGAATCTGTACCCACTAGGAGAATGCTACAAGGTTGAAACGAAACCACGATTCCTGAATGTCTCATTATTCCTCTGCTATCAGTAAACCACTGTGAGCCCCCCGACAAAGTGCCCTGTTCCCCTCTACTGTTGGTTCACACAGAGAATGACAACCGACTACTGCTGTCAGTTACTCCATTAGCTCAGTGACACAGGTGGTGGATCTAAGGTTCCAACCCTACTGATGACCCATGTGATTGTCAGTAAGATCCCACATGATAGAATTTCCGGGTTTTTTTACGTTGGATTTTTTAAACACACAGTAGATTACACACAACGTTATGTTTAAAAGAATGATAAGGTTGCAGAATCACACACACAAAAGGGAGGAAATGGGCCTATTTAATGGTGTTTATGCAAATTTAATTCAGGCCCTTTGTGTATAGTCTTTATGGTATAGTCTATAATTAAAGAGCACATAATACTTTTTCTACAAGGATCCTGTCTCATTCTGTACATGGGATGGACCAGCTTTGGGGATGCCGCAGGGCTGGGTAGGGAGGGAAATTGTTGCCTGCAGAACTCCTGCTTTCTTTGTTGCAGAAACTGGAAGGGGTAGAAGGCAGTGGCAGATATAGGGCAGGGCGAGCTGGGCAGCCGCCCTAGGCCCCGTGCTTCAAGAAGCCCCGCGCATTTGCCATGGCACCATGGCGCATGCACCGTGTCAAAGGGGGGGCCCTGCGAAATTGTGCTGACCTGGGCCCTGCAAAATCCTCATCCACCCCTGGTACAGGTCATGAGGCTGGAGGCTGCAGGAAGAGAAAGGGTGGTCTCACTGTTAGGCAGTTGAACACCGCATCAGAGAATTGGATTCTGTCCCTGCCTCTGCCCAGGATCCTATGCGATGCTAATCAAGTCACTTCAACCAAACTTCCCACAGATGGTCACTAATTGTGTGTGCCTCACTTTGTGGGTACCCGGCTTGAGACCCGGGGGTCTGATTTGCAAAAGTGCTGAGTGCTTCCAGGTGCCACTGAAATCAGTGGGAGCCGTGATCTGAAGATATAAAGTGCTATATAAAGAATGCTAAGTGTTCTGAAAGATCAGGTCATAAGTATCTCAAATTGGGCACCTGAAAGTAGTGGATACTTTTTTTCCCTAACGTCTCTCTGACACAGCTCCCAGCTCATAAAATGGGGAGAAAACCATCTTCTCACAGCTAAGGGATGTTGTGATACTGAGGAAATGAACCATTTTCTCTCCAGAGTAGGTAGTGGAAAGTGTGTGGTAAGGCCAGCCGGGAGATTCACACGGAATTAGGAGAATTATGAATGATTGCCCAACGGCTTGTGTCCATTCTGTGTATTGAATGAATTAGTGTCCTATGGAAACAAGGATACATGCTCCTGTACATAAAAATGGTAGAGAAGTGCGTAGAGGGCTGAAAGCAGGTTGTGCAGACAAACTTAATTCTGTCATTTTTGAGTGCTTGACTTTACACCTGGATAATGTTTATGTGTAATAGTCGCTACAGCAAGAGCCAAGTACTCTTTCTTCAGGTTTTGTATAGTGCCTCAGTAGTCATCTCCTGCTGACCTGGTTACCCTGTCTGTATGCTTGAAGGACATCAAGGCCAAAGAGTCCGAGGTATACATCTTGATATCACTGGCAGGAATTTGGTGAAATATTAAAAGGGAATTGTGCGGTGAATATCAACGTGACACAGTTTTGAACAGCTCTGTAATAATTTATGAATACTCTGGGTGTGTCTAAACTACACCGCTCTGCCAACAGAGGGATGTAGATTAGGCACATGGCTATTTCAAATGAAGTGGGGATTTAAATATCCTGCGCTTCATTTGAATAGAAATGGCCACCGCTTTTTGCCAACGTGGCACTTTGCCCACAAAAAGCGGCAGTCTAAACGGGAATTGGTGAACAGGGAAAGCCTTTTCCGACCGATTCTGTAAACCTCGTTGCACGAGGCATAAGGGATCGGTCAGAAAAGACTTTCCTTGTCGACCGATTCCCGTCTAGACTTCCGTTTTTTGCCAGCAAAGTGCCGCGTCAGCAAAAAGTGACAGCCATTTCTATTCAAATGAAGTGCGGGATATTTAAATCCCCGCTTCATTTGCAATAGCTATGTGCCTGTCGGCAGAGGGGTGTAGTTTAGATATACCCTCTCTCTTGGCTATTGGGTTATTCAAAACCTGATTACAAAGGGAAACAGCTAACCTGGAATTCATGTACAAAAAAATCAGCTTAGGATCGAATAAGGATCTCAACATTAACGCATTACAAAAGCAATTTCCCCTCTCTGCATAGTCACATCTCCGCATCAAATGCTGTGAATGACTCATTTCCACACTGACTTGATTAGCTTCATAAACACAAGCAACTTCTTCCTTGTGTGTACCCCTGCCTCTGTAACTTCCACTCCAATTCATCTGAGGAAGTGGGTTTTACCCACGAAAGTGGATGCCCTAATAAATCTATGAGTCTCTACGGTGCCACAGGAATGTTTGTTGTTTCTGCAGGTACAGGTTAACATGGCTGCCCTGCTGTGGTTATTGGGGTATGTACTGTGAGCATGTGTTGGATCAGTTGAGCAGAGCTTGATAAGAAACACAAGCAGGAAGCGGAAGAATGACTCAAAGTCAGCCACACTCAGAAACCCCTAGCATGGTGTTAGGGGATAATACTCAACCTGTTGGTTGTGATGATGTTACTTCCTCCCCTGAAAAACTTGTTGTGGTCAGGGAGGCAGAAAAACAAGGAAACTTGGCATGTCAAAAAGAGTCTCTCTTGAGAAGGAGGCAGCTGTTTGGGAGAGCCAGGCTGACACCCAGGATTCACTGGGGTGTCTGAAGAATATGGGCCTACTACACAGATTACCGTCTGAGGCTGATGTGCACGAAGACTGTTGTTTTAAAAGCCTTTTTCTCTAACTACTTTGTCCCATTTTTAAAGAGACATACTTTGGGAGTTTGTGACCAGTGGTACTTCCAAAGAGAAGAACTGCAAGAGTTTGAATTCAGCTGGATAAGCGTGGTGGCTACAGAGAGCACAGTATCCCAGGAGCTGGACTAAAAGTGGGAGAATTGTAGCATGCCACCACCGTCAAGAGTCCTGCTTTGCTAGGAGATACACTCAGGGCTTCTCTATAAAACAATTAGAACTGCTGCAAGTTGGGGGGTGACTGTACACCAGCGTTAGGCGACCGAGGCGAGTGAATGGGCCCTCCTTCATCTCAGTGGGCCGCAAGATTGTCATGACCATGACAGTCCCCCAGGAAAGGGTGTTGTGCTCACTGCACTTGCATACCTAGCATTCATGGGGTGTGCTGATTGTATCCAGCAAAAAGTGCTGTTATGGTTCAGAGGGAGCGCACGGCTCTCCCCATCAGTACTGTGTGCAAGCAGCATGCACCTCATTTGGCATGCCCTTGCTTTACGTGCCGGTCACTTTCGGAATACCCGTCAGCAAAAAACCTACCTGCATGGAAACCAGCAGAATCTGGCAACCCTACGCGTGGGCAACAACAAACAAATACCTCATGCAGAACCCCAATGGGCTGCATTTAGGTCTCAGGTTGTCCACTATGGCTGTACTCCACACTAGCCTTCCCCATCTAACTATCCCAATGCACCCTGCAGTCACACATTAGCGGTTCTTGGCCATGCTTTGAGCTAGTGCAGTTTTATAGAGGCCAAGATCAAAGCAGTCTAATGAACTGGTCATGGGCACCAGCAGGGTGTGCAGGGATAGTAAGACTCTCGCAGGCCAGCCTGGCAGAGATTCATTCCTCAGATTGTTCCTTCAGACAATCCCTCAGAGAGACTGGAAGGGAGACGGAGATAGAGCTAGCCCTGTAACCGTGATATCGCAGTGAGTTCTGTTGGCCTGTGCAATAGTCTTCCCTGGGAAGCCCATCGCTTGAAGAATTGAAAACAAACCTGGACAAAGCACTGGAGAATGGACGTGGCAGAACAATCCTACCCTTATCCCTCGGATTGTTTATGAAATCACGGAGCAAGATGCACCTATCCTTGTAATAGATCTTGCCTCTAATATTCTGCTCTTGCCGCATGCCCGGAAATTCTATTGACATCACAGAGAACTGCGTGTACGTAGGGAAGGTAGAATCTCTGAACAGAGATGTGCTCTGCAGATCTGGGAGGGGAATTCTACCCATTTTCTCTTCGGCGCACATGTCTGTAAGCCCATTTCCAGATACGGGAAATGCTTGTGTTTGTCAGAAGAAGACAATATCCCTTTGTGTGTATTCTTATTTAACGCTGTTTACATAGGAAATAGCAAAACACATCTTTAACCATCACATACTGTTTAAAATAGTGTCACTACTCTTTGCAGAGCTCATTCTGCAAACATCTACTCCCCCATGTGGCCTTTGGGAGCTAATGCTGCTTTGTGTGTCCACATAAGCTCCGGCAGGAGCACGCTGTAGTGGATGATGTTAAATAGCCTTTTGTGAGGGTTTCCAGGGCTGTAAATTACACATGCAAATTGTTGCCAAAACCAAATCCAGACTTCTATGGCTGGAGCTGAAACCATAGATGTCTTGCTGCCAAATTGCCATAAAATGTATCGGCCTAAATGAATCCCCTTTTAATTAATAATAGGCAAAGACATAAATCACAAACCCCAAGGACCGAAATGGTGAACTCACACTAATGAAGACTCTAGCTTCTCCAGTGATGGTAGGTGTAGAGATGATTTGCAAAATGTCATGAGTCTAATGGGTTTAAAATGCTATTTTCATTACAAGATGCGAGTATTCAGTGTCTTCTCCTTGAATTCTCTCTCTCGTAATGCACAGTGACTACTGCAAGCTACAGTCTCCCAGCAGTTCCTACTATGACTCTTTCCTCAAAGAGGAGCAACAATAGAGACCAATTACCCTCTATCTCAACTCCTTTTATTGCAATATGCCTGGGAAAAAAAAGTATGATGCATATCCTCCCACACCCTCTACCCCTTTTCAATTTCAGATCTTAACCCCGACTGCTAGTGCCATTTGTGGATTTGAACGTGCAGTCTTTGTGTGCAGTATTATCTGCTGATTCACCCAGTACTGATCCAGTGAACCAACATAGCCTTACAAAGCCAAAGGGAAGCATGTATGGTTCTCTTTGTAATAAATCATACGCCATGAAAAAGGATTTCTTTAACTCCGTTACTCCATTATTCTCCATATCCACTTTTTTTGTGGAGAAAGGTCTGTTAGAGAGAGAAGTGGGAACAGAGTGGGTGCAGGGAAGGAAAATATAGTGGAGGAAAGGAATAATCACAACAAAGGGAAAGCCAGAGATCCTGGAGATGTCTGTCACTTAGAGGTTCAAGAAAGGAAAAGTGTAACCTGAAAGAAGCATAAGCAGCCTTAACAAATTTACAGCCTCGCATTGGTCATGGCCTTAGACTTGTCTCTATTCTAGCAAGAACCAGAAGATGGTTGCCTAAAGTACCTATGCAACTAATATCTTCAAACAGTGTTTGGTGAACCTTTGAAGCTTAGGAGGTTTCTTTTCTGATAAGTACCTGTTTGGATGCTAGTTTGAGCTTCTTTGCTTTGTCAAGTTGGGCTGGTAACCTCTTGAATAAAATAGAAATGAGGACTACAAACATTTTCAGTTAGATTCCATTTCAGTGTTGGATATAATTTGCTTAGAGTGGATTTGCCCCTCTTTATCGTTGTTTAGTGGCAAAAATATTGCCCAAATAGTGAATTTCCAGTGAACGCTGGAGAATCTTACCACAGCTCAATTTCTAAATCATAAGCCCAAATATCTGCAGCAGAAACCTGATTCTAAGAGTTGTAATTTTCCAGTCATGGATCAGAAACATGCCATGGCCAGGGAAGCCTAAACCAACACAGTTTGAATTTGGAACTGTCTGACATTTGAATGTTGTTAAATTATGCTAATATGGATGATTCACAGTCATTGCTGGTGGCTCAGAAAGTTCATAAAGACATAACCGTCAGCTTCCATGGAGGCGGTAGTGATGTCATAAAGGAAGCTTGGGATTTCCCATTGTGACAGATCAGCAGGAGCAGGTGGCAAAGATAGGATGTTGCTTTCCTCCTTTATACGCACCAAAAAACCTGGGGGAAAACGTAAAATGCATATCCCCCCACACCCCGTACCTCTTTGTGCAGTACTCCTTCCTAGGCAGTCCCTTCCCATTTTGTATGTATGAAACTGATTGATTGTCCCTCCCTAAGTGGAATACTTTGTATTTGTCCTTACTGAACTTCATCCTATTTACCTCAGACCATTTCCCCACCCTTAATCATCTGTACAAACATCCCAACCCATTTCAGGCTCTTCATTGTTTCTTTTTCCAGCCATCCTCACAGAACTTGTTTCTCTCAACCTCCCTCACCTTTCCCTTTACTCATCTACATTCTCCATTCTGCCTGCTTCCTTATTGTGTCTTAGAATGCAATCTGGAACATCTGTCTTTATTGCTCTGCCACAGGTCTTCAAAGCTCATCCTAAAACTGCACATCCTCTACTGTGATATGCCATCAAGTGCCAGCAATGTGCCTCTGCTTTGTATATTGTCCAAAGCAGACAGTCTCTGTGACAAAGGATAAATGGACATAAATCAGACATCAGGAGTGATAACACACATAAACCTGTAAGGAAACATTTTAACTTTCCTGGGCACTCAGTCATGGATTTAAAAGTAGCCATTCTACAATTGAATTTTACCACCCAATTACAGAGAGTGCAGAACTAGAATTTATTTACAAATTTGACACCATCAACCTGGACTTGAATAAAGATATTAACTGGTTAATGCACTACAAAGCCCATTTTCCCTGCTTTTGACATTTGCATTTTAACATCAAAAGCTATGAATGGGACACATACAGCCTACTTAATTAGCTTCATTAACACAATTGACAGGTAACTGCTTTTACGTGTGTGTGTGTGTGTGTGTGTGTGTGTGTGTGTGTGTGTGTGTGTGTATTTTGGATTCTGTTATTTCCACAGCAACTCATCTGATGAAGAGGGTTTTACCCTGGAAAGCTCACGATCCCATATATTTTTGTTAGTCTCTAAGGATATGTCTACACTACCAGGTTATTTCAAAATAACATATTTCGCAATAGTAACTTCTGCAACAACTATTTTGAAATAAGCTTATTCCTTGTCACAAGCAGGAGTTGTTATTTCGAAATAACAAGCCCATTATTTCAAAATAACAGGCTAGGTAGGGTGGACATTCCTCTTGTTATTTTGAAATAAGGGGAGTTATCTCGAAATAACTCCCCAGTGTAGGCCTGCCCTAAGGTGCCACAGGACTACTCATTGTATTTAAAGTTACATACTAACTTCTGACACTCGTCTTAAAATGTAACTGTTCTCCCTCATGGGGTTGGTTTTCTACTGAATGCTTCAGTTACCTGTACAATACAAACACAAAACTGCTATCTAATACACTACACACCATCTTTGTGGGCCAGATTGTGGAGTTGTGTCTGACACTGGTGGGCTCTCGCGTGTCTAGCAGTCAGTGAAACCAACAGCGCTCCACAAAGTACACACCCGTGTGAGTAAAGGATGAAAAATCGGGCCCTGAATCTTTAAAGGGTGCTATGGTGTAGCGGAACACAGTTCTTCTCCCATTGCAGGGCAGGTGTTTCAAAGCAGTGTCAACTAATGGATAGACCCCAGGTCTAGGCCTTGGGAAACTTGAATTCTATTCTGTCTTCAGCAAGTCACCCCTCTTCCCATGTCTCAGTTTCCCTATTTGTACAAAGAAGAGAATCATAGACTACTAGAACTGAAAGGGATATTGAGAGTTTATCAAGTCTAGTCCCCTGCCCTCACGGCAGGACCAGGCACCATCTAGACTGTTCCTGACTGGTGTTTGTCTAACCTGCTCTTAAATATCTCCAATGCTGGAGATTCCACAACCTCCCCAGGCAATTTATTCCTGTGTTTAACAACACTGACAATTAGGAAGTTTTTTCCAACCTGAACCTCCCTTGCTGCAATTTAATCCCATTGCTTCTTGTCCTATCATGTCCCTTCTCAGTCTCCTCTTTTCCGAACTAAACAAGCCCTGTTCTTTCAGTCTTCCCTCATAGGTCATGTTTTCTAGACCTTTAATCATGTTTGTTGCTTTTCTTTGGACCTTCCCCAATTTCTTCACATCTTTTCTGAAATCTGGTGCCCAGAACTGGACACAATACTCCAGTTGAGGCCTAATCAGCACAGAATAGAGGGGAAGAATGACTTCTCATGTCTTGTTCACAACACTCTTGTTAGTGCATGTCAGAATATTTGCTTTTTTTTGCAATGGTGTCACGCTGTTGATTCATATTTAGCTTGTGGTTCACTATGATGACTAGATCTCTTTCTGCAGTACTCCTTGCTAGGCAGTCACTACCCATTTTGTATGTTTGAAACAGATTGTTCTTTCCTAAGTGGAGTACTTTTTATTTGTCCATATTAAACTTCATCCTGTTTACCTCCGACCATTTCTCCAGTTTGTCCAGATCATTTTGAATTATGATCCTATCCTTCAAAGCTCTTGCAACCCCTCCTAGCTTGGTATCATCTGCAAATGTTATAAGCATATTCTCTATGCCATCATCTAAATTGTTGATAATCATACTCACCTCTTCTGTAAATGTCTTTGAGATGTGCTGATGAAAAAGTTTTTGCGTAAGAGTTAAGTATTATTATTTCTATGTTATGTACATGATACCTGAGTCATCGGTTAGCCAGTTAGCTAATAGAGGGCCAGGCATCGTGTACTTGGAAACACACTGATCTAGGCTGTGGAGAGGAAATTTATAAATCAATGCAAGATGCAAATGTGAAGCTACTTGGTTGAAGTTAGAGGATTATATTGTACACAAGAGACTGCATTGCCAGGGAGTAAAAGAGTGTCATAAATGCAGGATCTGTAAAAGAGAGACTAGGTGAGTGAGGTAATATATGTTATTGGACTAAGTTCTGTTGGTGAGAGAGACAAGCTTTCAAGCTTGCATAGCCGTCCTTTTTCAGATCTGGCAAATGTGTGTGAACTATCACAGCTAAATACACAGGGTACATCTAGACTACGTTCGTCTGTCGAAAGAAGATATGCAGATTCTGAGCTAATTTGCATATTGTCTTCTGATCGCGTTATTGGAAGAGGTTTTTTCGAAAGTGAAAGCAGTTTAGATGGTTTTTTCCCGAAAGAACCCCCCTTTTTCGAAAGAACCCTTCTTCCTTAAAATGAGGTGTATGGGGGGGGGGTTCAAAACCCCCCATCTAAACTGTTTTCACTTTCGGAAAAAACCTCTTCTGATAATGCGATTGGAAGAAGATATGCAAATTAGCTCTGAATCTGCATATCTTCTTTCGACAGACGAACGTAGTCTAGATGTACCTGAAGTGGAATAGCTTCATTCATCGGAAGAAGTAGGTTGTGCCCGTGAAAGCTCATTATACCATCTACATTTTTGTTAGTCTCTAAGGTGCTGAAGGGTCATTCATTGTTTTTTAAGTTTTTCAAGTGGAATAGCTTGTTAAGCATAAGGTGCTCAGACATATTTCAAGGGACCATTCAAGGTGAAGTGGCCTTTTAACTCCTCTCTAGTCATTGGGGGTGGGCGGGGAGGGGAAGGAGACTGGAGACTGGGAGAGAAATGAGTGGGTCTGTAAATTGTTGTAATAAACCATAAATCCAGTGTCTCTATTCAGTCCCTGATTGTGAGTATCTGGTAAAGTTATGAGTTTAAGCTTCCCTGCTCACTTTTTGAAAGTCTCAGAGGGGCAGCCGTGTTATTCTGTAACATCAAAAACAGTGAGCAGTCCTGTGGTATCTTAGAGACAAAAATATAGTTATATGGTATCATGAGCTTTCGTGGGCAAAACACACTTCACCCAAGCTCGTTTGAAGAAGTGGGTTTTGCCCATGAAGACTCATTATCTATCGATCTATCAATCTATCGGTACCACAGGACTGAGCACTCAGAGGGAATCCCAAGATGAGCACGGATTAGCTCCGCCTTCCCACAAAACTGCACTGTAGGATACTGCAGTGCTCACACTGTTGATGATATGCCCCCAGTATAGACATGATCTGTCAAAGAGGGAGCAAGTGGGAATACCCTTTGACGATTTTTGTTTTGTTGACTTTTGGATGTCGACATAATTTTGTCAACAAAACTTGGTAGTGTAGACACGGCCAAATGAGATTTGGAAATTTAGTGTGAGATCTTATTAAACAGAGGTGGGAGGATCATCCCAAATGAATAACTTGTCAAAATTTGCTTATTTTTTGTTGCTGAAATATAGCTTCAATATTCTCACATTTATTTGTTGCAAACAATAGATTTGAATTAAAGCACGATTCGTTTGCCTTGTGTTGGCTAGTTACAGAAATCGTAGACACCAATTCTGTTGGTGCTCTGGGGCTGGAGCAGTGTGCATAGCTGATTTGCAAGGTTCAAGTTCCAGAAGGGGGAGAAAGGAGTGGAGACGGGAGGAGGCAGGGAAGAGGAAGGGTGGGGCTGGAGTAGGGGTGGAAAGAAGTGGGGCAAGGACTTCGGAAAGAAGTGGAGTGGGGACGGGGCCTGGAGCAGGGGGTGGAGTCACGCACTCCTGGCAAAATGAGAAGTGAGTGTGTCTGACAGAAATTAGGTATAATTATTCCCTGGTTGGATGAGTTATGTAATTAATAAATACTATGCAAACCTCTGCTTACAATTCCCATTTGAACTTTGTTTTTGGTCCTCTCTAGCCTGATTGTTCAAATGGCCAAGGAAACTGAACATGGTGGAATCAAAATTTGTTTGCTTTCTGTAGCGTTACTACTTTAAAAGATGTTAAAAAACAAATGCAAATGAGCTGGGCTAGTCATGCAGGAGATGTGATGTCTGGCACTGAGCTCCTCCAGAAGATATCCTGTGGAGTCCGCGTGCTGTGTCCTAGCGCAGTTTGCCAAACAGCTAGAAAATGCATTGTGAGCAAGACGGTTTCTGATTTTGCAAAATGAAAAGCAGGTTGGTGCAATCCTGATCTGTTACCAGTTTGACACCCTTGACCTTCATTTCCTGCAGTGGCAATGCAGTGAGGTCAGAGGTGGGCATTGGGGAGAGGCGCTGAGCAGGACTGGGCTTTCTGTTCTGCAAAAAATTCCAAGATCTTCCCCGCCCCTTTTTTTTTAATTCCATGTGAAATGCAATAAATCTGGTTTGTGTGGCAAAAGGACTAGCTTCCTGGCTCCCCAGCTGCCATGGTGACAGAATGGTCAGGTGGACCAGCTTTCTTCCTGCCCTTTATGTGTGCAGCATGGGGAATTAGCCAGATGAGGATCCAGCCTCTTGACTTCCTCAATAACCAGAGGAACTGGCCTTCCTGTCTCCTCAGGTGACCTGGGGGGCAGTCACCCTGCCACCTTCCTACAACCTTGCCCCGATGGGATGCTTGGGAGGTGGAATCAGGGAAGCCTCCTACCAATTGATAGGCTGCTTGCCTGGTCTGTCAGCATTGTTAACAGAATGATGCATTCTTTTCTAACTCTAGTCCCCTGGAAATCTATTGACCAACTCCAGTGTTGTGGTTTCAACCCCTCACTTTCCTCTTCCAAGCTGGGCATTTCGTCTATCTATCCAAGCCTGTTCTTTGGCTCAGTATTTAGGGTGTTGTGGATTTTCCTTTCCTTTTTTCCTATGAAGTGTAAAAGCCTAACTTCCAGGTTCTCCAGATATATTGTTAAACAACATTATTAGAGCAAATCTCTATTGTCTGCATAGGAGTATTTAAAAGATTAAGATAGAATGGGCATTTCTAGACTGTTGTGTGGATCAATGAAAACTCTACTTCTGAAGAAGCTTTAAGGATTAGTAGCAAGAGTGATTTTATGGTTTAGTTTTATATACAGGAAAAATTGCATCCTGGCCTGCATTTGTCTGTTATTTCTGTCGAGAGTCAGTGTAGGTGTGTCTAGGCTACGTTTTTCTTTCGAAAGAAGATATGCAAATTCGGTGTGAATTTGAATATATTCTTCCAATCACTTTTTTGAAAGAAGTTTTTTTTTAAAAAGCAAGCAATCTATATGCGGTTCTTTTGGGGGGGAAAAACCCTTTTTCGAACAAATGCTTCTTCCTCAAAAAATTAGGTTTACAGTGTTCTTTCGAAAAAGGGTTGGGTTTTTTTTCAAAAAAACTGCATCTACACTGCTTGCTTTTTTGAAAAAAACCTCTTTTGAAAAAGCGTCAGAAGATATGCAAATTTGCACCGAATTTGCATATCTTCTTTTGAAAGAAAAACGTAGTCTAGACGCACCCTGTGATGCCTGCATTGCTGAACTGTGTCCATCACTCAGAATCTGCTCAGCTTGGTGCCACCAAGGGAATGATTATTTGTTGCACTTGGTGTGCAAAGGTGGGCAAAAGTGGACAGCAAGCAGGTTTCCTGTGGGCCTCGTTTTTTCGCTTTTCCCTGCGTTCAGATGTACCCCACTCTGCCAATCACCTGGGTGATTTTAATGGTGTGAGAGGAAGATATTTATCAGCATGAGGGAGGCTGGCAGATTCAGACTCAAAATTGGACCGTGATGCATCAGGAGGAATATGAGTCAGAAGCAGGGGAGTCAACAGCCTCTGGGCAAGATGGGGGGGAAGTTTGTGCCCCAGAAGGGATAGGACTGGAGGCAGCCTGGCCTCAGCACCACCCAGATCATTGTGTACTCTCCCCCCAAACCCTCACAGCCACCCAGAGCCCTAACAACTTTCCAGAGTACTCTGGCAACAATTTAAAGGGTCCCAGCCATTGCTGCAGTAGCATCATCATCATCCAGGAGTTCTGGACCCCTTTAAATTGCTGGGGCTCAGGGCAACTGCCCCATTTCTCCCTTCTCCCCTCTCCCCACCACCACCACCTCCCCAGGCTTGGAGAGAGGAGGAATTCAAGGTAGCGTATATGATCTCCCATTAGTAAAATGACATGGTGGATCTGCTTACTAAGGGCTAGTTCATGGCACGGTACAGTAAGTAGTGTGGTCTTTCTTTTCATGTAAACTAAACAGAGGTCTGTCTTGGCTAATTGTGTGTAGGTTGGGCGGTTCATGAACGTTGACTTGCATGTGTTTAAATGCTTTCCCGAATCAGGCCTCACTGAGGATGGTGGTTGGGTTTGAGGTGCAACCTGACCGACATAGATGGTTTGTGGAAGAAAATGGGAGAACACTCCTGGATCAATGGACTATTATAGTCATAGAATCATAGAGCTGGAAGAGACCTCAGGAGGTCAAGTCCAGCCTCCTGCCCAAGGCAGGATCAATCCCAACTAAATCAACCCAGCTAGGACTTTGTCAAGGCAACACTTAAAAACCTCTAGGGATGGAGATTCCACCCCCTCCCTAGGGAACCCATCCCAGTGCTTCATCCCCCTCCTAGTGAAATAGTTTTTCTGAATGTCCAACCTAGACCTCTTCCACTGTAACTTGAAACCATTGCTCCTTGTTCTGCCATCCGTCACTGTCCTTATTGGCTACTGCAGTGCGGTCAGATTGAGAGGTGAAGTGGAAAAGGACTAGGCTGGCTGAAGGTGAGGTTAAGGGAGCAATGATATGATGGGTAAAAATGTGAGACCTCAAAGGTGCTGCTTCAGGAACCCTGCTGCTGAAGATATGACATGTCACAGATTGGTCTCCCCAACTGCTCTGGATGTCCAACCTAGACCTTTCCCTGCTTTGTGTGAGAAGTTGTGTGCCAGGACGTCCTACTTCTGTCTGACGTGGGTAGAGTTTGAAGACCACGCTGATTGCTGTTTTGTGTGTTTTTACAGGTGTTCCTTGATGGGGTTTGATTTAAACCGGCATTGGGTGGATCCGTCTCCCTGGGCTCATCCCACACTGCACGGAGTGAAACAACTTATCATTCAGATGTACAACAATCCGGTGAGTGGGGTCTCTTACAAAGGAAAAGCGTCTTCCTCATGGGAAAGTGTTGCATTGAGTGGGGAGAGCTTGTGGGCTGTCTCAGGCATCTGGCTGTTTGGACTTGGACAGATCCTGTGGCAAAACTTTAAAAGGGGAACCAAGCAAACAGCACCTCTGCTGCAAGTCATCAGGAAGCATTTTAAGTGGTGTTTGTCATTGGGAACGTTTGAGTGGAGAGAGTAAGTGGAAATAAGTTCTATGCAGATTAAATATGGAATAGAGCCGAACGCAG